CGCGACGAATCTTCCGAAATAGTGCCCAGCGTGCGACAAACCTCTCCTGCAGAACGCGCGCACAATAACACGTCGGCAAAACGCGCATTGCGAAGCAAGTCGACGCCTCCAACGTCGAAGCCGCACTGATCAGAATTGCGTGCTCAACCAGCGTTAAAAACAATGAAGACAAAACGTCTCCTTGCTCGACGCCGCGCGCACTGTCGAATGCTTCGCTCCATCGACGCTGCCCAATTGGGCACCGTAGATGTCGGGCAAGGGGCGCATGCATTCCACGCGAACTCCCTACTCCGACAAGCGACCCACAGCGGCAGCTGCCACTTCCAAGCTGTCGTGAACAGATCCTCTAGAACGACGTCAGCGAAGCGGCCTGGGCGGAATCCTACCTGGTCACCCGTTTGTTCTGTCTCTAGATCAGGCTGCCAGCGCGCAAGCAGTAAACGTGCAAATATATCATATGCGATGCGAAAAATGGCGATGGGCCGCCAACGGCTTACATCATTCCTGCCCCCCGTTTCCTGCAGCATGACAGAGCGCGTTGCCTGCCAAGTGGGATCGACGCATCCTGCGTCGAGCAACAAATTCAAACATGACAACAGGCGCCTGTGCAGAGCACCAACTCCACAGTAAAAGTTCGCGAGGGCGACGCCACGTTCATCCGCGCATTTCCCGCGCTTCATGCGCATGAAAGCTTGCCACAACTCCTCCGCGCAAAACGGCGCGACGTTACACGAGCCTCTGTTGCAGCGTCCCTCGGCCCAGTCGCTCCTGGCAGCGTCGCAGTCCGATGCAGGAATCTGTTCGAGCGCAGTCTTTAAAAAATAGCCCGGCGAAAAACCCAACCATATGCAGTTGCCAATGACGCGATTGTGAATACTATCTCCTCTCGCGCTCCCTACGGGGCCGCGAGCCGCGCGAGGGGCGCGCCGAAATGCGCGGCGCGGTCCACAATACGACAACACGAACAGAGACGGTCGGTCTGAGCGCGAGCGACTGAGAACGGGTGAGCCTGAGCGCGAATGAGTCTGACTGTGAATGAGTCTGCGTGCGAATCAGTCTACGCGCACGAACGTCGACGCCCATGCCGGCGCGCCCCCCGCGAGGATCGCGCCCGCTTCATTTGTTTCTGCCTCTTTGCCCGCGCGCGCCGATTTCCACGGCCGCGGGCGCGGCGCCGCGCGGAGACCCCGCGACGCACGCAAGTCGCCCCGAAGGGGCCCCGGCGACGCGCGCGGGTCGTCCGCTGCGCGGAACAGAGAGAGCTAGCTGACTGGCTGATAGCGGGCAAGGCTGTGGCCGCCGGGCAGAGCGACGTCGGGGGCGAGCGAGGCTCTGGGCAGAGCGCAGCGCGGAATTCCCGCGACGCGCGCTTGTCGCCCCGACAGGGCCCCAGCGACGCGCGCGGGTCGCCCGCGGCGCGAGGCCAAACAGTCAGACCGCCGAGAGACGGCAAAGCTCGGGCGGGCCGCTCCTCAGGTCAAGCCTCGCGCATAAACTCGGTGAAGCCCAGCTCCCTGGCGAGGGCCGTCGCCTCCCTTCTGCGCCGCTTCGCGCGCGCCGCAAACTGCTCCAGCTGCTTCCGCATGCCCTCCGGCGGCACTGCGAGGAAGAATCCAACACGCGGCGCCCGCATGAGCAGGAGGTCCCCGTGGCGCGCGGCGCGCCAGAGCAGCGCGTAGAGCTCCAGCCACCAGTCGTCGTCCTCCTCCTTGCCGTTCCCGCTCTCATGGCGGCCGCAGTCCAAGATCACGCCTGGGCGATGTCGGCCGAGGCAGCAGCGCGCTGGACTGCCGACGGCCCAGGGCGAGAGTCCCCGGGACCGAGAGAAGGTCTGAATGCGGACTGCTCGCGCCCAGCAGGTCTGGCCGCCGTGAACTGCCCCAGGGCGCTGTTCCCTCGCTCCGTCACCTTCGCGCATGGAGCGCCCCTGGCACGCCGCGCGACCTCGGGTGGAGCTCCCCATCGTGCGAGGTGTGCCAACATGGGGCGGGGCCGCCATGCCAGCTGCGCCACTGGGACCTTAGGTGGAGCTCCCTATGGGGCCACGAAACGCGTGAGGGGTGTGCACAAATGGCGCGGGGCCGCCATGCCAGCTGCGCCACTGGGACCTTAGGTGGAGCTCCCTATGGGGCCACGAAACGCGTGACGGGCGTGCCAAAATGGGGCGAGGCCGGCATGCGAGTTCCGCCACTGGGACCTTAGGTGGAGCTCCCTATGGAGCCACGAAACGTGTGACGGGTTTGCCAAAATGGGGCGAGGCCGCCATGCGAGCTGCGCCACCGGGACCTAAGGTGGAGCTCCCTACGGGGCCACGAAGCGTGCGAGGAGTGTGCCAAAATGGGGCGAGTCCGGCATGCGAATTCCGCCACTGGGACCTTAGGTGGAGCTCCCTGCGGGACAACGAAACGTGCGAGGGGTGTACCGACATGGGTGGTGGGGACGATGATGATGATTATGATGATGACGATGACGATGATGATGTGGACGAGGATGATGCTGCGGATGATGATACTGATGGATGATGTGTGATGGTGATGATGGTGACGAGGATGCTTATGATGGGGAAAGGGAGGGGTGGCAGCGGGAGGAGAAGGAAGGGGGACGCGGCCGCTGTCTCTTCAAAACGAGGACCCAACACCACAGGACGGTTGGGATATATATATATATATATATATAACGGACAACGCGTCGCGCGCTCGAGGAAGGCGCATGATGCCCTCAAAGTTCAACCAACAGTTGTGACACAGCACGCGCACCGCAGTACTCCCGCATGCGTTTCCGGTGTTCTCGAAAAAATGAGTGGACAACATGGGCCGCTCTTGTGGGTCACGTGCATCGCCTCGCTGTCGACGCATCTCTCGTAACTCCGGCGCGCCCCATGGCCTCGCATGGGAGCGAGCGGGGTTACTCTGAGCTCCAGCTCGCGCGGCCGCGGCAGCAACGTGGCGCCAAACTGCAATGGAAGAAGACGGTCTAGATTCAGCGAGAGATTCCTGGACAATGCTCTCACACAACAAATCGTGGCCTTCGGCGTTGAGCAAAGGCTTCATATAATTGCATCGTGCTGGCGGCTCTTCTGGCGCCGAAAATTTGGGCCCAGGTTAAGCGCCCCGTGCACCGCACGGCGATCAGAACCCAGATCTAAATAGTGTGTCGGCAAGGCAAGATTGGCAATGGAAAGAAACATCCAACAGCATATCATCGAAAACCCGCTTGGCACCAAGCGAGCTTCGAAAAGTCCATGAACCGGGCGCGCGCTGCACGCTGCCAGCCCCAAGGCCGTTCTCGAAACAAAATGTTTGCATCAGGCGCCCTTTTTCTCCAGAGTTAAACTGGGTTTAAAAATCACCTGCAATGCATTTTTTCGGCGCCGCCTCCTAGCAACATCGATGTCCTGCTACAAAAACGTGTAGCAATCGGATTTACCGGCACGCGAGTGTCCCGCGTGTGGCATGCATGCAGAAAAGAGCGCGCAAGCAATGCCATTGATACTGGCGTCTACTGCCAGCACGCGGCCAAAACGCGAACGCGTGGCTGCGAAACCTCCCGCGCGTCGAGCACGTAAGCAGGTAGCCTCCCGCTGCCGCTATGAAGCGGTGACCCCCGTCGAGGACAATATCATATTACGTTGCACGGGCCTCCTTAAAACAAACAACATCGCGCGTTAGATCCGAAAGCTCCCCAAGCAAAGGCCCTAGCCGATCAAGGGTATATACGCGTGCGTCTTGCCGTAAACGTTAAAGTTACACCTAACATTGAAGCATTATGGTGAAATGTCTCCTGTACCCCTCGACCGGCGTTGTCCCTAGCTGCGACCGTCTGCAGCTGCCGGGGGAAGTAAAGGCAGAGCTTCGATCGGCCATGGAGGCAAACTTGCCGAAGAGAATGCCCGAGAAGTCTTCCTTTGAGTAGAGATCGTCGGCGGCCGGGGCCCTGCACCACCGGAGCTGTTCTTTCAACCATGTCTCTGCCTCCGCCTGGCAGCTAAACCCGAGAAGATTGCCAAATACGGCGGTCTCTTACTTGGGAGTGGCGGCGGTGGAGCCGATGGAGCCAATGGAGCCAGCGGCGCTCCTCATCTCGGCGATATCAATCTCTAACGCTCTGATGTGGTTCATGACATCCTCGTGGGCGTTCGGTGGAAACTTTGGGGCCCCCAGATTCTCTCAAGTTGGTGATGCGGATCTCCACGTTCTCCATTCGCTCATCCACCTCTGCCATCCTCACGTCGAGGTGCCTCTCAAGGCTTTCGATGGCAGTCCGCAGAGGTTGGACCTCTTGCCTGCATAGGTGCGCGATCTCGTGTAACGCTGGTGGGCGTGCCTCAGGTACAGGTGCCAGTGCGCCCGCATTGAATGCATCTGGAGGCGTGTCGGGGATCTGCGGCGGCGGCGTGCTGACGTTGTGCTCGAACGGGCCATCGTCCACTTCCTTGAGCGGGCAAAATAAGCGGCGGCGAACGTCGCGTTGGAGAACTGCTTGCAGTGGTGTCCCTGGCGCCCGCACGGCCATCGCAGGATATGGATGTGAGAGTGGGAAGATGGGAATGTTGAGTCACAGACTTGAGTATGAGATTCGAGCAAGCAGACTTGAGCAAGCTGCCCGCGACGGGGGTCGATGTGGGGCTGTCGGCGGGGATGATACCCCCCCCCCGACGCTTATTAAGAAACTCGGAGTATGTTATCAGGGCCAGGGGCGGTCTTATCCTCGATGGCCTCTCCCCTGGAGAAGCTCCCAGGCGGCCGAGGAGAGGCAGCGGAGCGCAACGCTGCCGGGCGGGGGGGGGGCCGAGGCCGCGGCTCGTCGCTCGTCGCTCGTCGCTCGTCGCTCGTCGCTCGTCGCTCGTCGCTCGTCGCTCGTCGTCGTCGTCGTCGTCGTCGTCGTCGTCGTCGTCGTCGTCGTCGTCGTCGTCGTCGTCGTCGTCGTCGTCGTCGTCGTCGTCGTCGTCGTCCCTCCTCCCTCCCCTGTCGGGGTGCGAGCCCCCCCCCCCCCCGAGGGGCCAGCGAGTACTCGGCCAGCAGCTCCTGCAGCGCGGGCAGCGCCTCGAGCGGGAGGCCCCTGCTGGGTCCGCGCACCTCCAGCGCCAGTCGCTCCTGCGGGGATCGGCGGGAGGGGCGAGGGGAGGAGGAGGCGGAGGAGGAGGAGGAGGAGTTGAATAGGAGGAGGACCAATGTAGACCCAAGGTCCAGTAACGATGTTGCAATAAGCCCTACTTCCAGGCTCCCTCTTCACAGGCTCCTACACGGATTCGTTCCCACTGAAGAGAATGCCCCGTTGGAAGAAAACCATTTGAAAATCTGGAACTGTAGCAGAAAACGACCCATGGGACTTCAACGCCGCGAATTACCGTTACTGTTGCGTCTTGGCGACTCATGGGACTTCAATACCGCGAATCAACGTGACGGTTGCGCCCTGACAGTCCGACATCGTGCTCCTGCAAAGTCGTAAAACGAATGTGCGCAGCGCTCAGGCGTCAGCCAGTTTGAAAAGGAACCGCCCTCCATATGTGAAGCTCATGCGAGCTGTTTAAAACGAACGTGCGCAGCGCTAAGGCGAGAGCCACCTTTTGAAAACAGACCGCCCTCCTCCCGTGAAACACTTGCGAATGTTTAGCAAGAGTATACGCGGCGTTAAAGCGAAAGCCACATTTGAAAGCGGACCGCCCTCCATCCGCGAAGCTTTTGCAAATTTCAAGCTTCGGATCAAAGATGGTGAGGAAATCTCATGCGAAACGCCCGGCCCGCCCTTTCGACCAGCCTCGGGGTGCGACACGGAGGAGTTATCCGTGAGGGAAAGGAGCGGAGGCGGAAGAGGAGGAGGAGGAGGAGAAGGAGGAGGAGGGGAGGAGGAGGAGCAGGAGGAGGAGAAGGAGAAGGAGGAGGGAAGAGGGGGGCGAGGAGGAGGCGGAGGAGGAGGAGGAGAAGGAGGAGGAGGAGGAGGAGAAGAGCATGGCTGAAGGAGCTCCCTTCGACCGTCATGAGTGAGGAGTGGAGTGAGTGAGTGAGTGAGTGAGTGAGTGAGTGAGTGAGTGAGGGGGAGGGAGGGGAGGGAGGGAGAGGAGAGGAGGAGGAGGAGGAGGAGGAGGAGGAGGAGGAGGAGGAGGAGGAGGAGGAGGAGGAGGAGGAGGAGGAGGAGGAGGAGGAGGAGAGGGAGGAGGAGCAGGAGGAGGAGGAGGAGGAGGAGGGGGAGGGGGAAAGGGAAGGGGAAGGAGGTGGAGGGGGAGAAGGAGGAGGAGGAGGAGGACCAGGAGGAGGAGGAGGAGGAGAGGAGGAGGAGGAGAAGGAGGGAGGGGGTTGGGGATGCATATGGAAAGGGAGATGGGAAGGAGGAGGAGGAGGAGGAGGAGGAGGAGGAGGAGGAGGAGGGGGAGGGGGGAGGATGAGAAGGAGGAGCAGAAGGGGGGGAAGGAGAAGAAGGAGGAGGAAGAGGAGGAGGAGCAGGAGCAGGAAGCAGAGGAGGGGAAGGCGGATCCAAATCCCCTCGCGCCGAGAAACAAACAGTTACGGAAGGCGTTTCGCTATTTAGGCGTCGGGTGGCCCTTTCAGGGCCTGGGGACCGCCAACACATAACTCAGGATGTAAATCAGGTCCCTAGGAAGGGATCCAGACCTCTGGGGGTCCACGTCATAAAAAAACCTGACGTCGGGGGTCTGAGGAGGTGAGGGAGAGAAGGAAGAAAGAGATGATTGGTCATTGGTTCCTCTTCGCCGTGGGACCCGCGGGAAAATTACTCTCCAGCAGCTGCGCCTCGACGGGAGCTTTCCGAGGGTGCCCAGGTCGTCCCGAATGACCACCGGAGACCAGAGTCATGACCCGAAAGCCACCAGGCGTAAGGGAGGGGGGCGGGGGGAGGGCAGGGGGATGAGGACGGAAGGGAGAGAAGGAGGGAAGGAGGGCGAGAAGAGGAGGGAAGGAAGGGAAGGAAGAAGAGGAAAGGAGAGAAGGGAAGGGAGAGAGGGAGAAGAAGGGGGAGACGGAGAGGGAAGGGAGAGGGAAGGGAGAGGGAAGGGAGAGGGAAGGGAGAGGGAAGGGAGAGGGAAGAGAGGGGGAAGGGAGAGGGGAGGGAGAGAGGGAAAGGGAAGGGAAGGGAGACAGGGAGAGGGAGAGGAGAGACGGAAGAGGGACGAGAGAGAGAGAGGGAAAAGGGAAGGGAGGGAAGGGAGGGAAGGGAGGGAGGAGCAAAAGGACGAGGGGGAGCAGGGCGAGAGAAGGGGGACGGGCCCGCGGTGCCCGCGCCACGTCCCCTCCCCCGCGACGCCGAGTTCTGCTCCGCCCGCCCGCTGGGGTCCCGGACGGCCCCGATCCTCAAAAGGACCCCCCTCGCGCGATGCGCGGTCAGGAAGGAGGGCCTTGCACCTCCGGCCTCGGAGGAAGAGGAGCAGCAGCAGGCGGCGGAGGAGCAGGAGGAGCAGGAGGACGAGGGGGGCTGACGCTTCAGGCACGGGCCCCAGGTCCACTCCACGTCAGAAGGGAGAGGGGGGTGATGAGGTGGGAAGTGGAGCAGCAGCAGGAGCAAGAGGAGGAAGAACAGGAGGGCCAGGTCTCAAGCCAGCCATCGCCTGTCCAGACAAAAGAGGAGGAGGAGGAGGAGGAGGAGGAGGAGGAGGAGGAGGAGGAGGAGGAGGAGGAGGAGGAGAGACAAAGGAGAAGGACGGCAACGACGAGGACAGAATCGTTGATCCAGAAATGTAGCCCAAGCTGGGGCGAGAGTGCAGAGCCGAACAACTGGAGCAGAACGCCGATCCGGAAATGCGGCCGACGACGCAGCGAAAGCACAATGTTTTGGGACCGAAATCGGTCCGACTGAACAAAACAACAAAGGAAAACATTGTGAACAAAAACACGTCTGAAATCCGATGCGTGAGGAGAACATTGGAGAGAAGAGGCGCCAACGCACAACACAGTTTCAGGGGGGAGAGAGGAGCGTAGCACTCAGATCGCATAACAGTGGAGGGGGAGGGGGGTAAGGAGAAAGGAGAGGAACAAGATGAGGACCAGGAGGGCAAGAGCGAGGCAGGGTGAGGGAGGGGGGAACAGGGCGAGGGAAAGGGGGAGGATGGGGGGGGGGGACGCAGAGGGGAAGGGGAGGAGGAAGGAGGAGGGAGGAGAGAGGAGGAGGAGGGAGGAGAAAGGAGAGAGGAGGGAGAAGGGAGGCGGGATGAGAAGGAGGTGGGTGATGAGGGAGGAGAGGGAAGGATGGACAAGGGGGAGGAGGAGGAGGAGGAGGAGGAGGAGGGAGGAGAGGAGGAGGAGGAGGACAACGACGACGCCAAGGAGGGACGGCGACGGCGACGACGACGACGACGACGACGACGACGACGACGACGACGCCGTGCGGGTCCAGCGTCCACTCGGGCGGCCGAGGCGCTTCCAACGCCGCCGAGCGCCCCTTGTAGGCGCGCGCGCGCGGGCAGGACGGCGGCCGCGACCAGCCCCGGCGCCCCGCGTAGAGCACGCCGGCGCCCCCCGCCAGCGCGCAGAGCACGAGCACGCCGGCGGCGCCCACGCCTCCCCCGCGAGGCGTTGTCGCCGGCGACGCGCGTCGCCGTCCCGCCCTCGTCCTCGCCCTCGCCCTCGCCCTCGCCCTCGCCCTCGTCCTCGTCTCCTTCCTCCTCCTCCTTCCTCCCTCCTCCTCTCCTCCTCCCTCCTCCCCCTCCTTTTCCTCCTTTTCCTCCTCCTCCTCCTCCTCCTCCTCCTCCTCCTCCTTGGGCGGGAGTTTTTATCCTTCACACCCCCTGGTAGCCTTCTCACTGAGAAGCCTTCGAAGACTGCCAGACCAGACCAGACCTGACGTAAACTGACCTCCTCCTCCTCCTCCTCCTCCTCCTCCTCCTCGCTCGTGACGCTGATGCTGCGGGTGGGTCCTGGTCAAGGCCTCGGCGCCCTCGTTCCCTCCTCCTGCTGCTCCTGCGCCATCCCGCTTCCTTCTAAATGACTCCCCCCTGTCGCGCCCCCAGGCGTCGGTAGGGCGGACCAGACGTTTCGCCTAAGGTTTCCTCACCACTTCAAATTGCAATTGCTCCACGGACGAGGGGGGGGGATATCCAAAATGCAGCTCTCGCCTTGGCGCAACGCACGCTCGTCTGCAAAGATCGCAACGACTTCACGGAGGGAGGGCGGGCAGGCGCTGCGCACGTTCGTCTTAAAAGCTTGCACCGCCTTCACAGGTGGAGGGCGGGCAGTTTCCAAAATGTGGCTCTCGCCTCAGCGCCGCGCACATTCTTTTCAAATGTGTGCAGCGGCCTCACAGAGGCTCCCCAGGGGGGGGGGGGAGGGGGGGGGAGCAACTGTGGCGGCCCCGGACCCAGGCCCCTGGCATCCCAGCACATGACGGTACTCCTCGAGATGCCCTGGGGGTCCTGGAGCGCGTCCCCGAGGCGACGGAGATGTCGACATCTGCTCGTTCCGCGGACGCTTCCCCTGCCCCCTCGGCGGGCGACTGGCGCACTACAGGCGGGCGGGGAATAGCGGTCCCAGCGGCCAGCAGGGCTTGGGCGGTGCAGCGGAGCGCCTTTTGCAGAGCGACGCCCCTGCTCTGCCAGTGTCCTCGTCCTGATGCCCGCCCTGCCCCTACTCCTCTCGACCTGCTCCTCCTCCTCCACGTCCTTCTCTTTCGCCTCCCATCGACCTACTCCATCCTCCTGGTTCTCTTTTCCCTCCTTGTCCTGCTGCATCCTCCTCCTCTTCTCCCATTATTATCCTGCTCCATCCTCCCTTCTCATCCTGCTGCGTCCTGCTACCCCGTGCACCCTTCTCCTCTCGACCTGCTACATCCTCCTCCTCCGCCTCCTCCTCCTCATCCTCCTCCTCCTCCTCATCCTCCTCCTCCTCCCTCCTCTCCTCTCCCTCCCCCTCCTCCCCCTCCTCCTTCCCTCCTCCTCCTCCTCCTCCTTCCTCCTCCTCCCTCCTCCTCCCTCCTCCTCCTCCTCCTCCTTCCTCCTCCTCCCTCCTCCTCCTCCTCCTCCTCCTCTCTCCTCCTCCTCCTCCTCCTCCTCCTCCTCCTCCTCCTATTTCTCCCCCCCTTTTTATCCTTCTTCTTCAGCACGGGGGAAGCGGGTCCTGGACCCCGGGGCCTTTCCCCAGGACGAGGTCTTCGTGAGCCTGGTCGGTCCCAGGCCTCGGCTTGACGGCTGCCCACCCCCCCTCCGACTCCAGCGCGTGCGCCTGGCACCTCCCTGGGCGAGGCAGCTCGCGTGGGCATCGCTTGTGGATGGGACGGTGGAGATCCGTGAGGCATCAACGGCTTACTGGTTGGGGTCCGCGCTGGGATCGAATGCGTTCGAACAGCAGTGGCATGTAGCATGAGCTTCTGAAATGCAGGAGTTTGATTTTGGAGCGTTACTTAGTTCAGTGCAACCTCTAAACACGCTTACATCAGACCTGGTTTGCATCATACTTCACATTAGCGGCGTGCCTTTATTTGAGCTCAGTATGTAATTCACGCGTGCTTACATGTCATGGGATTCGCAATGTGATTTAAGTGTTCGCGCAGTCTGCACATGCGTCTGCACTGGTCCAGGCTATAAATGTTTATTGAACTAGCTCGTTACACTAAATATACATTTGCAGTTGGTCGGGATAAATTGGTTTTACAACCAAGTATCGGAGAGGGAGCGCGAGAGAAAGGGGGAAAGAGAAGAAAGACAGACAGAAACAGGAAGAGAGAGAGAGAGAGAGAAAGAAATAGACCACGCAGATCGTGCTCACATGCTGTGGCGGAAAGTTCTGGGAAGGTGGCGGAAGGTGGCTGGAGCATGAACACCGTGGTGCTTCATGTCAGCGGAAGTCGGCGGAAGGGTGGCGGAAGGTGAGAAAAATAGCAAAAGGCGCAGCCAAGGAATTGTGATACAGAGTTTCTGGGGCACGTCTGGAGAGAGAGAGAGAGAGATAAAAGAGAGAGAGAGAGACTTCATCTAACACCATACATGGTTTCGACCGTGACTGTTGATGGCTGGTAGATTTACGCGTGTCGTCTTCGGCGTCCCAGAGAGGGCAGATTCACACGCCAACAGTTGGGGCTTGACCAGCGGTTCAACACGGCGGCGTTTATGCCCTGACTGGGCAGTAAAACAGCTGCAGATACATGATCCAATGTTGCCCCCCCCCTCCCCCCCCATGCATATGGGAACGAGCATCCCCCCCCCAGATGGGTACGCCCGGGAGCCTCGCAAAGGCCTCGTGAATGGGATCGTTCCCCCCCCCCGTGGTTCGTCGTCGTCGTCGGCGTCGTCATCGGCGTCGGCGTCGGCGCTAGCGTCGGCGTGCGTCGTGCGTCGTCGTCGTCATCATCGTCGTCGGCGTCGGATTCGGCACCGGCGTCGGCTTCGGGGTCGGCGTTTGCGTCGTCGTCGTCGTCGGCGTCGTCGCCACCCCCATCCCATCGGGGGGGGCTCGTGAAACCCTGGGGCCCCTTCCATCTTGGTGGGGAAGGCCTGTGAACCCTCGACCCGGGATCATATATGGAGCCGCCTCTTGCCTTCTTCTTCCTCCCACATCCTGTAAGGCCATCCACGGCGACGGTACAATCGAACAGAGGCCGAACCGATAGCGAAACCGGAACCGGCCGAAACCAAAGCATCCGAGAACAGCGGAGGAGGACGCAACGACGCAGCAACGGCACGACAACCGACCGAGCCGGACCGAACGAGCACAACCCGACTGCAACGCAGCCGAACCGACCGAACACCGAACACCCTTCTCCCTCCACCCTAACCCCTCTTCCGTCCCTGAGATCCGACGTCGCGAAAAAATATCCTGGCGAAGGACGCAACCATCTGCAGTTGTGAATACCGCGTTGTGGGCACCGCTTTCGGTCGAGCTCCCCATGGGGCCACGAAGCGCGTGAGGGGTGTGCCGAAATGGGTGGGGCAGACGCATGCGGCCGCGGCCACTGGGGTCTTCGGTGGGGGTCCCTCTGAAGCCACGAAGCGCTGTACTAAGTTGGGGAGACGCATGTGGCCGCGGCCACTGGGGCCTTCGGTGGAGCTCCCTCTGGGGCCACGAAGCGCTGTCGTAGTTGGGGGGACGCATGCGGCCTCGGCTGGTGGAGCGTTCGGTGGAGCTCCTTATGGTGCCACGAAACGCTGCACTGGGTGGGGGACACACGTGAGGCCTCGGCCTCTGGGGCCTTCGGTGGAGCGTTTTAAGGGACAACGAAACGCTGCACTTGGTGGGAGACACGCATGCGGCCGCGACCACTGGGGTCTTCGGTGGGGATTTCCTCTGGGGCCACGAAACGCTGCACTGGGTAGGGTATACACATGCGGCCGCGGCCACTGGGGCCTTCAGTGGAGCTTCCTAAGGGGTCCCGAAATATTGCACTGATTCGAGAAGACGCATACAGCCTCGGCCACTGAGGCCTTCGGTGGAGCTCCCCATGGGGCCACAAAGCACTTTACTGGGAAGGGGGAAACACGTGCGGCCGCGGCCACTGGGGCCTTCGGTGGAGCGCCCGATGGTGCCACGAAACTCTGTACTGGGAGGCGCGGACGCATGCGAACGTGGCCACTGGGGCCTTCGGTTGAACACCCTGTGGGGCCACGAAGCGCCGACTGGGTGGCGCAGACGCATGCGAACGTGGCCACTGGGGCCTTCGGTGGAGCCTCCTTTGGGGCCACGAAGCGCTGTACTGGGTGGATGAAATGCATGCGGCCACGGCCACTGGGGTTTTCGGTGGAGAACCCTGTGTGGCCACGGAACGCTGTACTGGGTGGCGCGGACGCATGCGAACGTCGCCTCAGGAGCCTTCGGTGGAGCTCCCTATGAGGCCACGAAGCGCTGTACTGGATGGCGCGAACGCGTGCGAGAGTCGCCTCGGGAGCCTTCGGTGGAGCTCCCTATGGGGCCACGAAACGCTGTAGTGGGTGGCGCGGGCGCATGCGAACGTAGCTTCTGGGGCCTTCGGTGGAGCTCCCTATGGGGCCACGAAGCTCTGTACTGGGTGGCGCGGACGCATGCGAGAGTCTTCTCTGGTGGACGCAAAAATGATGTTCTGCCACTGGTGGCAAGGGAGGGGGCCCCTCCCCCAACGGATAAAGACTCGACGGGTGGACGACGACGACGACGACGACGACGACGAATACGACGGCATCGGCGGCGACGGCGACGACGACGACGACGACTGGGACGAGGACGAGGACGAAGACGACGACGACGACGACGAATTTGACGCCGACTAGGACGAGGACGAGGACGAGGACGAGGACGAGGGCGATGACGACGACGATGTCTACGACGACGACGACGACGACGACAACTCCCGACCACGCACGACGACGCACAACGACGACGACGACGACGACGGCGTGAACGACGACGAAATCAACGCCGACGCCGACGCCGACGCCGACGACGGCGACGCGGACAACGACGCCGCCGACGACAACAACGAAGACGACGACGAAGACGACGACGACGCCAACGACGACGATGACGATCGAATCCTAGTGCAGTGCGACCAAAACTGGATCGAGACATACTAAAACCCCACCAAAACTGGATCGAGCCAT